TGGTCTGTCACAGCTGACTAATGAATGTACATGTATATCTTGTTCCTTTCTAGTACATGTATTTACTTAAGTCAGTACTGTCAGTAGATCAGAATAATTTGACATTTGGTATGTTCATGAAGCCTGAATGCCATGCTGTTGATTTTCAAATTTACTTGTCCAGACATCATGGATAGTACCACAATCTGGCATGTTTCAAATTTAACCCTGATATTTTGTGGATTTTCAGATTCCTAGAATCAGAGCTAGGTTCATGCTCAATCTGAAGATCAAAGATTGTCCTTCAACTGTTGTCCCTCTTCATCTCTTGTCAGTTGATTACGTTATAATTTACAACAACTAGATTATTTAAAACATCAGTCACCTAAAAATATTTGTCTGATGTTCAGAATTAGAGTTCAACCTAGAAAGTTTAAGATCGACTTCTCCAGATCTACATGGCTAGAAATAGCGAAATATCATATAAACGTCATAATTTTAAAAGTTTTTAACAAATGCGTTCAGCGTAAGGCAAAGCAGGATTACATCGTCTTCGTAGAAATTAATTGAGAAAATTTTTTAGAAAACTTTATTTTTAGGAATATGAACTGTACAATATCTCAAATGCGTATGCAAGTATAATACTAGCAAAACGCTGTGGACATTTTTTTTTAAATAAAAGGTAAGACTGAAAGTCGAAAAGAAAGGAAGAGCAAGATATCGGTGCACGATTTTATATAGAGTATTGATAATGTGGAACCCCCCCTCCCCCCCCCCCCCAATATTCCTTTTAATAACAACATATCTAAAAGTTGTCAACTTCATATGCATCCTTTTATATTTCAGATTTGAAATTGTAAAATGGATTCTTGAAATTAGTCCCCTTCCTGATTTTTTTTGCTTCTGTGTGATTATCCGTATGCAGTCTGCAAGTATTTAGTTGTACATAAAGATACAATGAAGATAATGTGAATCTGCAAACTTTTCATCTATTTGCTCAGGACTACGTTCATCTTGTTTCATGGTACGTACATTTTGTCTTCTACATATGTAGGTAGAAATATATAGCTTCAAGGCATTACATTTTTTTCTACGACTAAGATCAACCATTTTTTTTAATTTAAGCATGGCATAATTAGCAACCACTTTACTCATGTTTTTTAAACATAATTTTATTTGTTATCCTTTATATGCAGAAAATAAATGAGATGGGTGAACAAGGCGTGCAGAATGCCTTTAGCTTCAGATATTAAAAAAATCATAAATTGTGAATTAAGTATTTAAAGTAAAGTTCTCATTATTGAAATTTATGAAATTATGATCAACAAAACTTTTCTGAGAAAAAAAAGATCTCGGAAAAAAATTATTCTTTTATTAGAAAAATAAAATGGTATTCATGGGATTCGAATCTATAACAATAAAATTCCAGAGTATCATATTGCTTTGAGACTAACATGTAACCACTACGCTACACAGCTCCTGATGAATAGAGGCATTTAAATCATGTTTGTGATATGACCTTGACTTAATGGACTTCAAATATATCTCGGAAAGATGCGAATGCTTTGTCATAAAAGTGTACTTTTAAGGTATAGTGGGTCTTTGCTCCATGTTTTTGTAAACCAAAAAATACATATTTTTATGCAAACTTTAATTTCAACTTAACTTTCAAAAAAATGGAGCGAAGCCCACTCATATCGAAAAATTTTGTTCAAGTGTGAGAAAATGATCCCTTTTTTGTCCTCTTTAGTGTGTGTATGCTATTTCGTAGGCAAATAATTTCAGTCTTTATTAGATTTTTGTAAATTGTAGAGATTCTACATAAAGTATATTTTAATGTTAGATGAAATATCAAAGAACATTTTGATATAATTGAGATTTTATTTTTCACTTCATGTTTGTCGTACTTTTGGCACTTCGCCCGCCTTGTTCACCCATCTTCTTTGTTTCAAATTATTTAACAGTGCTTGTTACAATACTTAGCCACAATTACACTGCTTTCACTAGTAACAGGTAGATAGTGAGAAAAATATCAGAGATGTTTGGCTGTGTAAATTAATAAATGGAATAAGAGATCCTAAGAATAAGGAAATCCGGAATTTCAACACATTTCATTGTAAAGTTATTAGATTTTTTTTGTCCTGCACGAATCTAAGTATTGTATATTTAGGCGATATTTGATCGCATTTATGATATCTTCCTTTTCTATATACGTGCCACCGAATTCTGTTATTGATACATGTACGAGTAATTTACACTGTGCCTTGATGGTACTTGCTATAGAAGGGATCTTTATGAAATAATTTATATGTATGAAATGCTATTTCGCCAAGGTTATTTAATATATATCAATGACATTTTTTTTAATATGTATTCTTTCTCTCATTAGTAGGGCTGGGACGATTCAGGGTTCAATCGATTCGGTTCGGTTTCGGTTCAGAATGATACGGTTCGGGTTTTTTCGATTCGGTTCGATTTAACCTAAAACAGTCTAAATATTTCTCATCATAAATGAAAAATGATAACCTTTGCTTTAAAAATTGATTAAAATCCTTTACTCCAGTCTTCACAAAAACTTTTCTGAGACACTAACAAGTGAGGCTAGTGGATTTGACATTTTTACTAGCTAAAGTAAAATTTCTACTAGCCCAGAAAAATAATAAAATTTGAAACCTTTTGTTGTATTGTTTTATTCCATGTCATAATGAATTACTCTTCTTTTCATATTTCTTCTGCTTATTTTCTCATTTTGTATTTTTCTTCTGAGTCAATGATACATAAATAATCAGAGAAATTATTAAAGGCTGAATTTAACAGAATGAACAATCATGCTATAGATACCTTTTAACATGGTAGTATACATTCATCTTTTTTCTGATCATTGGACTTCCTCTTCCAATATAAAGTGAAAGCTAGGTGATTCATTTTTTTTTAATTCAAATTTTCAGAAACAATGTTAATATATTTTTGATAACCCTTGTAAATCTTCAGTTAATTAGTTGAGTAGCTGGAAATAGTTGAATCAATTAATGTGATATCTACATGTATTTTCCATAAAATCGGTATGAAGGAAATTCGGGTTAGTAGAAAAAAGACGATCGTTTTCATGGTTTTTAGAAATAAATAAATAATGTAGAAGTGCTAAAAGAATTAGATAGAAGTGATATGAACAAGAGAACCACACTTCTTTGATTTTTTTCATTGGTTGGGGATTTAAAAGCAAAACTTGGAAACTACCTGCTACTTTTTCACTAGCCCGTCGGGCTATTTACTAGCCCATAGCAATTTAAACTAACCTGTATTGTAAAAGTAAAGGGTGTTTATGGAATTAAAAAACTAATCACTGACTTCAAACTGGCACAATCATTATAAAAAGTATTAAAATCATGAAAACAAACACTTCTGATCTCCAATTGGCAGCCATTTTTGTTTATACGTGTTATGTAAATGATGAACCGAACCGAACCGAATTCCGGAATTCTGGATCGGTGCACCGAATCGAACAGTATGAACCGCGGTGCACCGAAATTTTCGGTGCACCGCACAGCCCTACTCATTAGCTCATTGGTTTTACACTAATTTTGACTACTGATTACGATCAAAGATAGTATAAAAACAATGGCCTCAATTTAGCTATGAAACATGTAACTGAAAATTTGATCAGTACAGAGTGTGCCCTGTTGACAGAGATGTATACTTCTTCAAGGCAACTGATCCCACCTCTGGTGTTTACAGGGGTCCGTGCTTTTGCCCTGTTTCGTTGTTTATAAGATTTATGAAATTGATTATTGATCGTTTTCTTCAACTTTATTGTTGAATAATACATGTATATACATTTGTGGGCCTTGATAATTGATGAAATTAAATATGAAAATAAAATGAAAATTCAGATGTGTGTAAATGAAAGGAAATATACTTGACAGTGCAAATGGTGTATTGTTCGAACGAGGGAGTCTGTTCGCAATTATAAATGTGTAAAAGAGATATGTTTTGATGATCGATGTCAGTTACTCACAATTCTTGGACAGATCTCCACTGTTACTATCGTCTTAGAAAATGTTTAAATTTATTTTAATCAAAATATTAACTTAAAATCAGACACTTTTCTTTATATATACTGAAAATCAAGTGCTGTACAGTATCAAAATGTATTCTTGTATTCATTGTGATCGCGTGCTTCCACGGCTCATTTTGCATTTTCTGTACGTAAATGTAAACAAAATACATGTATTTTGAAATTAGCAATTACGTGTAAGCTGATTTCGAAATAATTTTAAGCACTGCATTTTTAATATGACCCAAATTTTAAAATTTTTTAAGAATGATGGAGATCGAACAATTTCCTTTGATTATGCACCAAAATACATTTATCATTGATAAAAAAAATATTTTCATTCAATTAATGACTCAGCTGTAAAGGTAACGATGAGGGACACATTTCGCTAGTTTAAATATTAAACTTTCTACATGTATGTTAATCGGTTCTCAGGAAACGATGGGGGTAATTAGCATGCAGACTGTTACTTTGAATTAATATGTACAGTGTAATATATGCAGCAGAATACATGATCCTAGCTCTGGGCATTAAGTGCATGTAAGCGTTTGTTTGAAAAAACATATAAATAATTTTTTAAAGTACATTCATGCACATATTCATATTTAGAATTTCCAATTTCAATGGTTCTTGTGAGAATTCACTTGTTTACTTTGCACACAGACGCCTTCGTTTAAAGATCCAGACAAACGTCTTTGTCTTTTGTTTGATATCAGTAATTACATCCAATGCAATTTCAAGAAGTATTGACAAAGGGTATTTCTTGTAATTATTCTAGACTTGTGGTGGAATAAACAAAACGTCCGCTAATACTTAGCCAAAGGTTTTATTCACGAATGGTTTACCTTTTGAGACTCTAAACTTTGTTTACTCTTTCTCTCAATAAGCTAGTATCAATCAATGAAAGCCATGTATTGAAATACTATTCATTAGCCGTGGATATATTCTACCTCCAACAAAAACAAAACATTTTTTTTGTTTTATTCAGTCTACAAAATCAAGGCACATACAAGAACAAATGTTACATTATTGAAATTTCGGCCATTTTTGTAAAGTCAATCTACAAAGTCACGCACTCTGATACAACAGATGTAAAGTTAGTTCAATCTTCTTATCCGTTATGTTTTCGATTTCCCTTACACATTTTTCCATACAGGTTTTTCAGCTCCGTTCTAAATGATTTGTTCATGAAAGAATATATGACTGGATTTGTTGTATTGTATACAAAATAGGTATAGAAAATAACAATGTTGAATGGAATAAGTTCCTGTGTCATCAGTAAGGCTGGTAGAAAAGCAATTAAGAAAACAATGGTGACAATAAACAACATGGCTGCCGTTCTAATGTTGGCATAAAATTGCTTTTCCTTAAGAGTTGCACCAATCTTTCGAGTTCTTGCATTTTTAACTGTATTATTGGCATTTCCGTCTGATTGTTGAACATGCATCAATGTCATTTCCGTTTCTGCTAGAGAAGCTTCAGGTTGACAACTTTGACTCGGATAAAGACTTGACCGTTTTCTTTTAGCCTTTCTTGCTCGTCTCACATGTATCTCTCGATATATTAAAGAGTATAGTACTACAACAAATAAAAACATAAGAAGATATAAAACAGCATGGATCTTAGAAAAAAGTAACACAAAATCCTCATTAAAGATGTCATATTTTGGTATACACATTCCATACGACGGGTCATAGAAACTTTCTGCTACATCTAAAGAGTCGTTCACTTCATATTTTGTTGAGTTGCACTCAGCTGATCCGTATAAAATGGATGTATTAAAGGAACACGAATTATTTTTCGGGGAGCCGGGTACCAATCCATTCATATCGTTTATTCCATACATTAATGCTACCAGGACACCTAGAGTACCAGCAAAAATTAGTAGAATGAAAATGATCAGTTTCGCTCGGAAAATTGTTATTACATGCAGAAATGGGTGGCAGATGCAAAAGTATCTATCAAATGCAATGGCCACCATAATGAGAGTTGCAAATGGTACACCGCCGGTTATCAGAAACATATACAACTGGCACATAGCATCATATCCATGTTTGTAGTCGAGATACACAGTTACGATATTAAATGGGATTATCACTAAACATGTGAAGAAATCGGCTCCAGCCAAGCCTAAAATAAATATACTGGACGTCGACTTGTCTTTTTTCCTCAGGTAAATGTATAATACAAGAGAGTTTCCGATGGTGCCCACCAAGCTGAAGATACTTTGCATGACAATCACAATGATCTTCTGATCTTTTTCATCCATTTTGATTTTAATCAAAACTGCAAAAAATAAAAGATATTTTTCAAACACACTATAAATATAAGCAAATATGACACATTTTGCAAATAAGTTCAAGAATGTTATTATGTTTTTATATGCTGACTTCTTACGTGTATCAACTGTATATGTATCTCTAGCTTTGCACCAATAGCTAACCAACATCTAAAAGGCCACTAGAAAACACTTTTCATATTTATGTAGGTGTACATGTAGGTGGTAAAATAATGAAACTTTATTAAAATACATGGAATTATAAATTCTGAGAATATCAATGAGAAAAAACATTAATTTCAAAAAACTTGCAAAGAGCTTTGCTATGCAAGTTAATAGTTTGTTTTTCTTTGTCTTTATGCAATCCATATAAAATCAAATAGAATTGTCAATTTTTATGTGTGAACCTCAGAGGAGGGGGGGGGGGGGGGGCAAAAACGAGAAAAGACTCTAACCAAAGCTCTTGTATGCCTCAAATATAATGATAATATCTGGTACATGTGTACTTCGAACAGCAATTTAAGAAAATAAAAGTCTAAAATAAATACACATAAGAATATTTCTCCATACTTATCTTTTTATCCTTAAAAAAACTATTACTTTTTGCTAGCGTCTTAAGACCTAAATTATAGTGGAGTTATTTAATAGATACTTGTACTTCGAACTTAAAAGTTCACCAGGGAAAGGTTCAGTGTAATGTCTTCTACCATTTTAAGCTGTTAATCTAGATCTATTAGTTTAAGCAAAGAATCAACGTAAATTTCTACATGGAAAATTGGAGTAAAACAAGAATAAAAAAGAATTATTGTATCTGAAATGGTAATATGGAATGATATTTATCTGTCCCTCTAAACATACATTAAGATATATTACTACTAGTGTGTGATACACATCCATTAAGCACTTCGCAATTTTTTGAGGATTTTGACAGTGGAAAGACTAGATAAAAGATATGCTTCTATGGTTGTATGCAATGAAATGACAATTAAACCCAAAAATTGGAACATAATGGATAACAATCGACTGAACTATTCTAGTCTAGCAATTTTCGATAATGGGAAATTTGTCACCTGCTGTAACGTACAATATTAGCACATCCAATTACTTTGCTTCGATAAAATTAATGAGCTGAAAATTATGAGAAATTTATTTTCATGTTAGATAAGGATGAATGAATGCATTGACAGTTTAATTAATTGTTTTGTTTTCCCTTTTAATTTTGGAAATAAATATAAAATTACTTTGAATAATGTTTGTCGGAAGTACCTTGAACATCTATAAAGGTAATAAACTTCATTCGTCAATAGATAAATATCTATGTTTTGTTCAAAGATTGTTTCTTTTATTTTAAAATCAGCTATCAAAGATCGCTTTTGATTAAATGATCATGCTTTAACACCAAGTTTGAAGATGACGCATAGTAAAGTGCACTCGAATCATGAAGAAGAATGTACGTGATGGGGCCAGCTCATTGACATTAAATGAAAATACTCACCTTTTTCATAATGGACATGCTTTCCATTGATTTGCAAAATCCAGTTTTTGGTTCATTTTATGCTTTTTTATTAGTGGATCAATATTTCTGGGGACGTAAGACAAATTTTAATTACACAAATACATGTATGTTGAATAATGAACGCCTGGATATCATTTAGAGGAACAGCAATAATCAATACCTAATTCTAAAATTTCGATTTACGCAATTAAAAAAACAGTCGAATTTAACATACCCACCTTTATTTAATTTAATTACAATCAGCATGCGTTGTCGATCATGTGTTTGTCATTCAGGGTTAAGTTACAATTGTGAATTATTCAAGTAATTATTTCTCTTTTTGTTAATTAAAATCATTATACACATGTAAGGGTGTTAGAATTCTCTTTCGCACGCTCAACAAGATAACACTAGTTGATTGATTGTCACTGTACATTGAAAAAAGTAATTTTACACTTACAGAGCTATATAATATTAATGTAATCGCTCTTGGAGAGCGATGTACTGTTGATGAAATATTTTGATTTTATTCTGGACCGAAAACAATCCATGAAAGAGCAAGAAAAATCTACCTAGCTTATCTAAATACCTAAAGATTTACGAATGCAATTGCTTTCACATCACTTTGGTAAGAATTCTATCCATTAGTCTTTTACAGTTTGAAGTGAGATAAAACATATAAGCCATGCAATACTACGAAGTCAATCAGAATAGAATAAGGAAGCTTGCAAGCATAACTTTCTCATTTTTCAGAGTACAACAAACAGAAAAAAAGGATAATAAAAGATATTTATTGCTTACAGTTGATTTGATAAACGCGTGGCTAGCAATGTAACAATTTTGGTAGAGGACTAAGTGTTACATGCATAATCATATAAATAATCAAGTCTTAGGCCTAAACTTTGGATAATTAATTTCACAGTTTTTTATAGTATAAGGCTCAATTTACTAGTATGTTATAATCATGCCAACAATTTGACAGCTTGACATCCATGAATGATAAAAAAAATCTACGGTATAAACTATAAAGCATATTTAATATACATGTACATGTATTACTACCTTAGCCAAACTTCACAGTTTTTGCTAAAAGATCATAGCTGTTTATCAATTGACTGCTTGGTGTTCAGGAGTAAAAAAGATTTTTGGAGATCATTATTTTTTTGGTTTTGGTCACACTCGTTAGGTTCCAGGGAGGCAGAGAATTTGATTTTTGTGTGGCCTGCAGAGCAGAGTGACACTTAAGGATCACTTTATCCGGCTTCTGTCTGTCTGCCCGTCCATCTTTCGCACTGTATATCTTGAGAACAGTAAGAGCTAGGAATCTGATATTTTGCTCTGGTAGTGCTTGGCACCAATGACTTTTGCAAAGTACCAAAGTTACCGACCTTGTGACCTTTTAACTTGAGCTTAGGACTATTTTTCAAAATAGTTCATAGTGCCGATATACAGCATATTTTTTTTTTTTTTAGACATTTGAAAGGTGCTGTTTAGCATTTGTTTGTCAGGCATTTTGAAAAATAACAGCGTAACAGATCCTTTGATCTTGATCATGACCTTTGACTCACTTTTCGAGAAAAAATTAACATGTCTGTACATATATTGAATTTTGTTTTGTAGGGATTTGATATCTAGAACACATATTACATGCATATGATTTTAGGATACTGTTCTTTCAAACTGTATGATATCGAACATACAAACTAAAAGGGTTCGATTAGTTGTATGAAACTTATCTGGGAGTGGTAAACGGATCAGGATCGTACTTCAAGTTGAGTTGTTGGCTGACATTGAAGAAAAGACAGCCAGTCGGAAATTTCTTTAAAATAGGAAAACTAAGAAACTGTTGCAATGTATTAAGCACGACGTATGTATGAATTAGTAGGTGAAACCGGAGGGGACTATAGGTTTCCTCTGAGTCTGTCCGTCCGTCTGTCTGTCTGTCTGTCCCTCTGTCTGTCTGTCAGTCTGTCCCACTTGGTTTTCCGCACTTTTCTTCTAAACGCTTGCAGATATTGAGCTGATTTTTGGTATGTAAGTGTATCATGATGAGTTACAGATCAAATTTGCATTTTGTTCCGCTTCATTGATTTTTGACGGAATTACGGCCTTTTCAATTTTTAAGGGTTTTCCGCAATTTTCTTCTAAACGCTTTCAGATATTGAGCTGATTTTTGGTATGTGACTTTACCTTTATTAGTTATAGATCAAGTTTGCATTTCGTCCCGCTTCATTGATTTTTGACGGAATTATGGCATTTTCAATTTTTAACGGGAACCAGATTACACTTGCCGGTAGGGGACTAGTATTGCTAATGCAATACTCTCAGAATGCTTGTTAATCGTGGATTTTTTTTTCTGTTTTGTGTGTGTGTGTTTTGTTTTTTGAAAATACATGAATTTAATACTAAATGTAGTATGCAAATAAATAGTATTATATCTTTAATGATACTTAAGTATGCAATACATGCATTCCTTTGAAAACTTGTTTTTCTTCGCATTTACCCATATACATGCTATGTACCAAATATCATGGAAATTGGTTCAGCCGTAAATACTGAAAAATGCTCACAGACATACTCTGCACGACGATGTACAAAAAGGGATAGTAATAGGTCACCTGGGTAGCTCAGGTGGCAAAAAAATCTAGGGTGTAAGGCTTTCATATCAAAATGACACTAATAACTTGACTTTAAGTGAGAAGTTAATTAACACGATGAATGGGTTATTATATCATACCAACTAATAACGATACAGGCACATGCTACCTATAATAAGACATATAATAAAACAAATTTATGTCAAGGACACGATTCTTTCAGATAGCTGCACATCTATAGCTCACTGGTATGAAAAACAAAATAGGATGGTCGACCAGAAAGCGTAAGTGCCACCCATTGAAAAAAGTGTATATTTATTGAGCACAAAAAGATTTATTTCAGAATATTGCTAACCTTGTGATTCTAAAATTTTCTTTTACTACGTCCACAACAAAACTGCATGCAGAAGTCATGCACGAAGCGCTTTGGGCCGCATTGTCTTGCCAACCAAAAATGGCAGCATAAATAGGCGACTTTTTCGATATGATCTCCATTTCAAGTCCATGCAGGATGGATATAGACAACGGTTTGGGGGAAATGTTTTGTTGTAGAAGTAGTAAAAGAGTATGTTAGGAACAAACAATAAGTTAAATTTTGAGATGGCAGCTTAAAAATCAAGATAACAGCGTACTTTTTGTGCGCAATCAATGGACACTTTTTTCAATGAGCTTTCTGGTCATTTATCCCATTTTTTTCCAGACCAGCGAGCTACGTACAGATCTGCAGCTACATGTACTTTGAGAAGAATTATTAAAACTAGAATAGAGTTCTGAGCAAAACATTTACTTTCATCAAAATGGAGATGTATATATTTTGAGTGATTGATTGTATGTTGTTTTACGTCCCATTCCAGAATTTTTCACTCATATAGATACATCACCATTAAGCGGTAAAGGGCTTCAAATTTAGACCTTT